GATAGGGCATTGTTAGCACTGAAAAAGAAGAAAGTTCAAGAAGACCTCTTGAAGCAAGTTGATGGTTGGCTCATCAATGTTGAACAGCAAGTAGGTTTATGTTTAATCGAGTTTAGTTTGTATCTTTATTTACCTAATGTTTCCTCACTTGTTCCTGTATATTTTCATTCGTAGTTTCTCTTAAAGTTCATACAATATCTTGTTAGTTGAGAAATTGCTTCAGTTGGCAGATGTTGAACTGGCGAGCAAGCAGAAGGCGGTGTTTGAAAGTTTGAAAGCTGGAAATAATGCAGTCAAAGCAATACAGAGTGAGATAAATTTGGATGATGTTCAAAAATTGATGGATGATACTGCCGAGGCAAAAGCTTATCAGGATGTGAGTTTTATGTGTATTGTTTGTTACAGATCTTTTTTTATGAGAGAAATTGTATAGCAAAATTTAAGTTGACTGTCGTACTTTACAAAACTTAGGTACAATGACGTGCTAAAAATACAACTACTTAAATTGGTGAAATTTTTTATCCATATTCTATTTGTCGCCACTGGTGTTTTGGATTGATTGAACAGGATTTGTCATGCAATGATTGAGAAGATTGGGATTGTAATCACTATTTTTTTTTTTCTTTCCAATATAATACCGTTGGCATGTTACTTGCAATTTGACATGGATGAAAACCATCTTTTCCATCTGTGTTGCTTTTCTTGGTTCTCGACTAGTAGCTGACTTTCATTCTTTCTTTCTCGTTTTCCTCACAGGAAATTAATGCCATTTTGGGAGAACAGCTCTCAGCTGAAGATGAGGAGGAAGTCTTAGCAGAATTCGAGAATCTAGAGGCACAGGTCAGTTTGCTTGTTTGCTTTTCCTTTTTTTTTTTTTTTTTTGTTTTTTCTTTCCCCTCTTTGGTTGTGGTGCTGAATAACAATTATCGACTTCTCTGACATAGATGTACGTGATCTTTACTTACCTTTCTTAGTAGTCCTTGAGCTATTTGTATTCATTGATCTTCTTCCAATTTCTAAATCATATGTGGCAGATGAGATCCTGTACTGACTCAAATTTTTTTTTGTTTGCTTAAAGTCCATAATTATTTGGCATCATCTTTTTAAGAAACACATTATACCTGTCATAAGATAGACGCTCGATTAAAATAAGTGCTTATAAGTTAAAAAGAGGTTCTGTAATTGTACAGATAAGCCTTCAGGATCTTCCCAAAGTTCCCGATTCAGCACTACCTATTGAAGAAGCAGATGAGAAGTTGGATCTTCCTGATGTACCAACCAAAGCACCGGAGGCTCTCGCAGATTCTTCATCCAAAATTTCTGCAAATAGAAAAGGTGTCTCTCTCTCTCTCTCTCTCTCTCTCACACACACACACACAAGTGCGCGCGGGTACGCACGTTCCAGCCCAGCCCATGTGAGCATATTGGCTGATAAAAAAAACGACCTTCATGTTTAGCCTAAAGCACAATTAATAAATAAAGAAAAATGAAGAAATTGTGATTATCTTTTATATAGACGGTAAACATCCTGTTGTTTGCATTGCTTTACAAAAATAGTCCTTCAATTCAAGTGGTACTTGTGAAGTAAGTACACCGTTGACTGTACATTCTTATATAAATTAGAAATATATGTCCTGGGAATGTTTTAAGTTTAAAAGATAGTTTTGAGTTGCCCTTTCTTTTCAAGATATCAGAATTTCATTGGTACTATACGTAGTTCTGTAGTAGCCGTAAATATACATACCAAAAAGTTACGACTCATTCTCAATATTTAAATGCAGTTATGGAGGAGCCATTACCGGCTTGATGTAGATGCTGTGCTCGTGTACTTGACAATTGGGGTTATCAAGTAATTTGTGGAAGACCTTTTGCTGGCGGCATTGTGCTCTACTTTTTTATGTTTCAATATTGATTTTAATTTGCGATAGATGGATGATGTGTTTCTTCAGTGTATCCAAGTTTTTTGAGATGATCGATATGATATCTCGATGTGTATTACAAAAAAGTCTGTTTCAACTGATGCCATTCTGTAAATCTGACGAAATATTTATGAATTGCCTTTTTAACTTGTACAGGAATGTAGTCCCAAGGATAATAGACAATCCAGGAAACAAGTCCCAAATAGGGACAGTTACAAAGCTACCCCTAAAGTTGTGTAAGCCGCAGTCTTAAGTTACTAACAAGCATTAGTTGTGTAATTTTGTACTTTTTGCATCTTTTTTCTAGCATAATGTTTCACAAGTATACGCAGCATCTAAAAGGCTCAACTTGCTCGATTTATCGTGTGAACCCAAGAGTAATGGCAAGACCATTCGTACCATACATTTGGATAATCTGCAGGCCCTTGACTGCTGTAGTAACAATCCCGCTTTAGTAACTATCCCATTGATCATATCACGCTACAACGTACCGAGTTCAGATGACCGTTTACTGGATAGAATGGAATCTGAGTGTACATAATACACTGATTTCAGTCGAGAATCGATGTGTAACTCGAGTCAAATTAAGAACAGCTCGTCCAGCAGAACACGTAACCAGAGGATACTTAATAAGCAGCTCATAAGAAATGGGATACACATTGCAATTGCATTATATCAAGAATATTCTAAGATCAGTTTGTAGCCAAAAGATACTTGAAAAGGCCCCGTGTAGGCTTGGATCATAAACTGTCACAACAAAGAGGCAATGAATCTGTGCATTCTAAAAATTTACAAGCAATTTCATGATACTCATATATATCCAAAAACGAATTAGAGCCATAAGGGGGCCTCATCATCAATCCAGATAAAACAGAGTCACTATCTTGCGCATGTTCTTGGCTTCTTGACACGTTTCCATGAGCAATCGACTGTCGTGAAAGGCAAAACAGATAACCTGCTGTACTTCAGAGATGATGTCCATGTTACAGAGCCTGCATGTTTTATCATGACACAAGTCAGTTTATATGATCTCACAGTAACTTTTATACAGCATAATAGATAAAGCTCAGCCGCATGATGATTTGAAGTATAACAAAATATTAAACAGCTAATAAAAAGAGATGCGATGTGTTTCACAGTGAAAGATATGTGAAGCATGATGAAACAGATTGTCAGTAGGCAACCAAGTGAAATACATAACAGAATAATGGTAAATTCCTGTCCCCGCAGGTTTAGCTAATTACAAAAAGCTCGAATTTATCTTTAAGATCACAAACACTCCCCTAAAACACCCAATTGACATAATCGAAGTAACTTATGTTTATTTCTGCCTTTTTGCATGCTAGATTCAATGCCAGAAATCAAGACAGCCAACAATCAAGGGAAAGAAATAGTACCTACTAGCCTCTATCAATGGAAGATGATCATTGTGAGGCTTCTCAATCACATTTTGTACCTGTAAGAACATTTCCACGTCAGGATTCAGAGAAAATTTTTCAGCAAAGCCTTTATAAATATCCAAAACGTAGTATTAGTAATCTCAATATGTTGTGATCCCTAGCAAACAGACAACAATAATTTCATGGATGAACACCATGGACTGCAAAACTAAGATGCCATATACATGATATGAAATTTTCACACCTAATATGAAATACCAAGGATTTAATGGATGAATACCAAGGATTGCAAAACAAGAGAATCCAACTATTTGACATAAAATCTTCACACATGGAAATAATAACAAAAACACGCAAAACAAGGTGCTGTATATATAATATGAAATATTCATGCATGGAATGTATCGAGGAATTGCATGTCCCGAGGAAAACCAAAAGAAAAACTCAACTATGCAACGAACACAAAAACACAAGAAACACAAGGAATTGTAATGTTGATCAAATTTTATCATGTTTGTGGCATTCCTCGATATATTCCATGCGTGAATATTTCATATTAAATAAATGGCACCTTATTTTGCATGTTTTTGTTATTATTTCCATGTGTCCATGCGTGAAGATTTTATACTATATATATGGCATCTTGTTTTGCATGTTTTCGTGGGATTGGAAGTGGGGAGTTAGTGGCTCACGAAGTGATTCCAGGGCGGATTATCATCATATTTGTTGGCAAGTGAAAGCAACAAAATCTTCCCACAAACAAATAAAACCAGTGTCGAGTCCCGAGTCTCTTAGAGAGACAGGGTACACTACAACCTAATATCCAAATGATAAATCAAAGAGCTAACCTACTTAAATGGTCCTTGAAGCAAATTTGAGTATTTTTATAATCTTCATTTGAATTTATCTGAGCTCGTTTTAGAAATTTTCCGGTCCATTTGATTTTTGCTCTTTTTTGTGTTTGTGTTATTTTCATAATGTGTATTTTTAGTCCATTTTTATATTTTAAAAAAGGAAAATGGTATTCGGATAATTTTATCATGAAGCACTTGTTGTGTCCGCGATGAACGAGCGTTACATCCATGTATAGATTTTCAGACCCCCTCCAAACATATTTAAATAGGAACTTGTAACAAATCATGACGGACATACTTTGACACGTTTAGAACACCTTGAGAACAATTCAAACGGGTCCCACAGACCGAACAAAAACCACTTGTACATATTTTTCTGTGTTTCTCTCTACTTTCTCTTTTGGCTCGCTTGACAAGGATTCTCATAAAGGATGAAAAAAACTATGTAGATTTGTTCTTCGTTACTTCGTTACGAATTAATGGAACTTGATTTGTTTTGTTATTTCTTTCAAGCATGAGTTAATCCCTCGGTTAGGGTTCTTGTTCGAATTTATTTTGAATGTGTGAATGTTAATTGTTCACGTTTTATATCGTCAAATGTTTGTAATTATATTGTCTATAAGTTCATTGACTGAAATACATATTTATCTATGTCCAAACCCGTGTTCGTAAAAGTATGTGGGCGGATCTCTAGGTTTGTAATGTTTTTAATTTCATTTACGTTCAATCCCTGCTACGAAAGTTTTTGGGAGCGAACCACTAGGCGTTTAGGCTAGAGCCCTTGAACCGAACAATATACGTTCGACTTAGATTTCAAAATTAGATGAGATTATTCCCGACGTCCTAAACATTCTTCTACTTCTCCATTTATTTTCTAGTTATTTATTTGATTTTATAGTTTTCCGTAGTGTTACTAAATAAATTCTCCCATCACTGTTCAGGACTTATTTTTTGTTTAAGTGCAATTGATACCGACTCTAAATTATAAACCACCTTTCTTAGAGACCCGAGACCGAGATTCATGTCAAAGGAATTCCACACCATAATGTGTAATTTCATTTTATAGAGAAGTAAATTAAATGCAAAGATGATGATGCAAGCTCATAAAATGTGATGCAAACTGAAGGGACACACAGTATCTCTTCGCCATCCCTAATGCTACTTCAAAAGACTGTCGGTCTTTAGTAAAAAGAGCTGACACCATATAGATATCTCGGTAGAGAAAATATTGCAAACATGTCTTTTATATTAAACGTTGATTTTCAAGCCCATTCACTGTTTTATATAATGCAAATTTTGAAAGGCCCAAGATTTGGTGCCACAAGTCAACTTCCCCAAAGTGGAAAATCCTTATCTCATCTAATTGTAAGGTTACGTCACATACATTCTTGCACACAACCATGCGCTAAAGAAAAATAGTGCTGACGTATAAATGATAAAGAAATCAGAAGTCTTTTTCAAACAAAGAACATGTCTAAGATCATGTCACCAATCAAATCAAGAAGCCAAACACTAACTCGGAGTTCTTACCTTAGAAAGTAACTCTTGACTCTCAGAAGATTGCTTTTTCAAACTTTGTGGCAATATCACAGTAAGCAGCTCGGGTTTTTCAGCACGAAGGGCTCCTCTAATCACAGCAGCATTAGTGCCCGATGCTCCAGACGTGAAGATATGATTTTTCTACAAAGAAATTCAACAGAACAGCTCTAATATGAATTTATTGGTACGATATGAAATGAAGCTTGTTGCATCATGGAACAAGCATGCCACCACATAAGAAGACATTACAAAATTTAAATCAATATATATAAATCATTAGGCGTACAGTAATGACGAGTGCATAGCTGAGAATCTCAATGAGCTCTTGGTGCATGAACCCCATGTTACGTGTCCCAAAGAAGCCAATTGCTCTCGGCCCTTGTTGTTGGATTGCCAGTAACTCCTGACAAAGGCAAAAGTATCAGAACTTATATGTTTGTATATTATGTATTTATCAGCCAAAGAAAGAAAATGCTGGTCTGCTAAGGTTATGGCACAAGGTTCAAACCTTCGAAATAGTGTTAGAATTTTTTATCTGTCCCACATAGATTAGTTACTGGGCCAATACCATGTACAAGTGTGGTTGGGCACATTTTACATATAGGTGATCACAAGACCACAGCAAACCCTGCCATTTTTTCACTGTGTTGATTGAACTCTAATCTCACTGGAACATCACTCTATAAATGTGTCGACGTCTCGAAGAAATCTTTTCTTAAACTACACTCGATAAATAGAGGGAGACACAAGCACACAGAGAAGAAATAAGAAAAGAAAAGTTGAAAAATCCAAAAAGAGCTCAATACAACTTTGTTCTTAGAGGCCAAGTAAAGAGGTTGATCATCTAGACCAACTGGAAACTGGCACTTGCTCATGCCAGTTTTGTGCTTAGAGGTTAAGACAGGTGATTTTTATCAATCCAGAAACTAAAGGATTTTTATCATAGGTTCAATTCAAGTACTTGAATTTTAGCTTATTGTACTGCAAAATTGCAATGGATATAAGAAGTATACATTTAAGATAGTCATAACATTCATATAGCTACGGTTTAGCAGATGTTATGATCTTAGACATTTGTGCTTTGCACTTCTCCAATTGGATTTCTCTTTCTCTAGAAAAATTGCCTCGCATATATTGGCTACTTTCATTATTGTTTGGTCTAGTTCTAAATGGCAAATCACAGATAATTTTTTTTTTAAAGTAACAATGTTAGCACACTTGTATAAATAATAATATATATTCACACTTCTATCAATAATATATGTAGCGAAATGGCTGCCTGATAAATAATTATATATCCTTGAGAAATGATAAAGTTATATTCACACTAGTATCAATAAAAATGTTAGCACACTTGTGTAAATAACAAATAATAATATATATTCACACTTCTATCAATAACAATGTTAGATCACTTGTATAAATAACAATATATGTTTAGTTAAGACTAAGCTTAAAGCAATGAAATAAGGGATTAAAAAGACAACAACACAGAAGACATCTATTTTTAAGTAATGTAATGGATGGTTTCAACACTAGATGACTAGAAGCAGCACTGCAAGTTGGAAAGACTGCTAGTAAGCATACAAAAACAACATTCATTATTTCAACTATAAGAGAAGTGCTTCATTAGTATGAAAGTATCCCAAGATAATAAATAACACATAAATATCAATGTCAACATCTTTGAACATTGAGTAATTACCCAGTCAAAATGAAATGAATCCCGAAAAGTCTACAAACCTGCAGGTAGTCCACATCAGGCATGGGTTTATACTCCGATACGAGAACATCTTCGGACCCAGTCCCAGAACCAGACCCTCTAACAATAGTTCCAATTTGAGTTGGAATCTTTAACGAGCCTTCTTCATCAGAACCATACATTTGAATAGCATTGTTTTCTCCATCGTCAGAATTTTCCACGCCTTGTATACTCTCACATCCAATACGCCACTATACCAGCACATAGAAAACAGAGGCCCTGGTAGTAAATCATTAGTGAAAACCAACTGATGCGGACGATTAAAACAAGGTATTCTTCGGAGAACTAACTGCAGCAAGAGTAACTGATACGCCTATCCTTGTTTTCTTATTTCATCTTTTTCAGGTTTGATTTATAAACTACACCTGCTCTTCGGTCCAATTTTACACGAGTATAACAAAAGTAGTGAAGACAACACAGTATGCATAGCATATTAAAACCAGAATAACTAAAAATGGATGACTGTCCTAAGATTAGGGTTTCAAGAAAGAGGTTAATTCGTCTACCATAGGTAACCTAGTGCGCTTGACTCTGTCCTCCCTACCCAATTCTAATTTAAAGAATTCACCTCATTTTAAGATGCTTATCAGCATTATAGATATCTATTGAATTTTAGACAAAGATATACATTCAGGAGTGGGCATGGACATATGCATGTGGCAATTCAGATCCCAGCCTGACCTGAATAGAACCAGGATTTAAACTTTCAAATTTAGGACTTGGAAAGATATAACAATATTGTAAAACTCTGTTCCAATTTCATTTCATTTCTACAAAATTCAAACATACACGACCAGCTCCAAATTTATACCAGCCCAAATGCCCAAGTCCACCACAAAGTGAAAGTCCAACTTTTCAGTAAAAGGGTTCCAAGTCTTGCTTTTCTATTCCCAATTACTAGTGTGAATGGTTTCCTTTGAGTATAATATTACCCTATATAAGGCAAGAAATCAAGTGAAAGAAACTCACATCAATAAGGGATTTTGTTAATTAAACGCACTGGTTTTTGTTTGCATATTGATTTTGAAAGTGCAAGAAAAAATTCCCTTTATTATTCGATATAATTGAGTGCCTCTACAAGGCTAGAAAAATGTTTAAAAAATTTAATATTCTTCGAGGAAAGTTCAACTCGAACTATCGAGTCCCAACAATATAACACGTTTTTCTTTGTTATTTTGTTATTAGGTGAAATTATGCTCCTGCATTATAGATGAAGCCCCATGGTTCTCATAACAAATTTCTTTCGGTATGCACCTTGTAATGCTTCAGAGTAAAGCATAGTTCAACTTTTTTTTTTAAGGGGTGCAACACGAGGACTTCCCATAGTTTGAAATTAACTTTATTTAAAAGATTTGGCTAAATGATCAATCAACAATAGAAAAACTGTTGAGACTAGGTCACCGTATACAGATCACAGCAATGTTCATGTAAAAAGAGTGTGTCTGAATGCTGGAAACCACTTTGAATCTTGCAAAAACCTCATGCGCTTGCAATCAAACAAGACAATATAGAATATATGGAGGCAACTATGTTCCGGTAAAACTTAAATCAAGCTAAAACAAGGATTTTTATGTCAATGTCGTACTGTCTTCACAAAGAGGCTCAAAGGCAGAGGGAGAGTAGGATGCCTCGATACCATTCCTAGTGACATATAACAATCAAATCTTTAAACCATTGGTTCAAGAGGCGAAACACAGGAACAAACGTGTGCCACTGTGCGGAACTTTTCACAGAAAGTGCAGCTTTGAGGATAACAAATGCTCATTTGATATAAAAAAACCGAACAAGGGAAAATTATTCGATTCCCAGAAATTAATAAACACGGCATCTACAATTGAACACCAATAAAGTGGTCTTAATCAAGTTTTCGTAGCTAGTCATCCAACAACCGATTCAAAAACTTCCAACGTTCCCCACAAGAATGTACATTGTCGATATTTGCCCCTCATTAATCAACTATCTGAAACGAGCTGCCTCATTCTTGGACGAACGTAAGCCAAAGAATACAATTCAGAGCAAATGAAGAGAAACCCACATCCCAATAAATATTTTCAATCTACAACACGATAGTTCTCAAGAACTCATTACACCAACAGAGCCCACATATCACACACTCACACACACTCACACACACACACACACACAAAATAATAATAAATTGAAAAACCCACATGTGGAGACACAGACATATAAACAGAAACATGATGAATTAGCGAAAAAAAAAAATCAATAAAAACAAACAGAAGACAACAGCAAACAAATTACCTTGTTTTTCCGCGCAGAACAGCTCCATGAAGAGGAAAATCTCGTACGAGCGGTCGAAGAAAAGGGAACGGAATGGAAATGGGTAAAACCAACCCCAGCAGCTGAGGTAGGGATAGCTGTCGGAAAACGAGGAGGTCTGAAAAGATCCAAATGGGGAAGAGGAGTTGTCATCTCTCTTTATCTTTTTTCTCTACTTTTCCCTAGCTAGTGCTTGATGAATTATGTTTTAATCGACCTTCGACAGCTATTTCTTAACTATTTGATGGATTCATTTAACGATGATGATTATGTTTGTAGTGATGAAAAACGAGTAATGGGTTAACGGTTTTCGATTGGTTGGCTCTCTTGTAAAGGGCCTTTTGAGAGAGGATATGTGATTTTTACAGGAAAAGGAAGAGTCTTTTTCTCTTTTGTTTCCTTTTGCGGCTTTGTATGTGCTTATCAACCTCAGAATGCATTAAGACTAGTTTTGTCTATGTAGCATGTAAATAAACTCGTTATAGTCTAGTCTTGATTATGTAGCATGTAAATAAATTCAAGTTATATGAATAAAACTATGTGAAATTAACAAAATTCACTCCAATGCAAAAAGACTGTGTCTCTACTTGGGTCTAAAAATAGACTTAAGGGTAGACGGAGTCTCTTTTTTTGGCTGGCACATCAGCAGGACCCAATCAACTTTTATTTACATTGGAGAATAATTTTTTTTTGGACTGAGTCTATTTCGTAAGTGACATATAATTTTTTGGAATTGAACTCAAAGCATTGTGGATGCTTGTAAGCTTGATATCCTAAAACTTGGATTGTATCAATAAGTTTAAATTATTTGGTTGAGAATGAAAACCCCCGTGTGTATGTGTAGACATCGAAATTTTAATAATTTATTAATTAATGTTTTTATTTATTTTGGGATATAAATTCATGGTAAATAAGATATTGAATTAATAAAAGTTATTATTTCTTGCCTACCAAGTCAAATCTTAGGATAAGGAAAGAAATTATATCAAATCTTAGAATAAGGAAATAGATTATATCAAATCAAGAAGGACCAATCAAATAGATGTCTTCTTTTCCAAGACTCTCTCTCTGTTACACATATAAATAGGGTTCTCTTCAATGTCACAAATCACACCTAAAAAAATATCAAACACATCTCAAAGATTAAAGTCTCAAATTCAAGAGCTCTCAAGAACCCTCTTGAAGATTTGAAGAAGTTCTTGAAGAACCGCCCGAAGTCCATTCAATGAAGAAGAAGGCCAAGAAGAAGAAAAAGAGACGGCGACTCTTCCCCAAGAAGTAAAGAGACGACTTCCACTCTTCTCAAGTCAATCCATGAATATCAACGACGTCCAAGCGACATTCAAGCCCCGTTCGTTGAGAAGTTCAACCAACATAGTCTTCAATTGAGAAAAAGCTATCTAGCCCTCGAGTCAACGTTATTCAAGTCAAAATTCCTCTTTCAAGAAGATCAAAGAATCAAGTCCTCCAAGAAGTCTTCTTCAATCAAGTCAAGGTCTAACATTTAATACGAGAATAAGTCATTCGACCCTCAAATTAATGTTAGAGAAATTCAATCTCAAGCATGAAGGAGATTCAATCGTCAAATCCATCTTTCATAATCTCAAGCTCAAATCCAAGAAGAGAAGAATCAGGTGGGACATATAGAGATTGTACCCGCATATCGTTTGACCGAAATAGATCAAGTTGTACAAAAGTTTTATGTTTTCCATAAAATTTGTTGTTACAAATTTGGCACGCCCGGTGGGACCATTTCTACCTCTCATCTCTTCTCTTCAAATCAAGTTCGAAGATCTTTGAAGATGCATGAAGACATCTTTGAAGATGATGAACAAGAAGACAACTAAGGATGATGTTTCTTCAAACCATGAAGCCTTCATCCGAATGGAGGAAACAAAAGTGGTCTTCCATATTCTTCCTCAACTTCCATGGAGGCAATTTACATGGAAAGCTCCATCAAATCCTCATATTAAATGCTCCTTGATATGAGCCTAAACTATCTACATATTCCAATGCTCCTTGATACGAGCCTAAACAATCTACACATTCAAATGCTCTTTGATATGAGCCTAAGCTATCTACACACTACAAGAATAATCATTTTTTGTGACGATAATTTTTGTCACTATGTCGTCACAAAAAATACCGTCACAATAAGAGGTATTATTGTGACGACATTCGAACATATAGCGACAATATTAGGACATTATTAGCGACGGTATTTTTCTGACGACATAGCGACAAAAATTATCATCACTAAAAAGATTATTCTTGTAGTGACATATTCAAATGCTCCTCGATATGAGCCAAAACTATCCAAATATCCAATTCAAATGCTCATTGATATGAGTTTAAACTATCTACATATTCAAATGCTCCTTGATATGAGCCTAAACTATCTACATAATCAGATGCTCCTTGATATGAGCTTAAACTATCTACATATGCTCATTGATATGAGCCTAAACTATCTTATGGCTCCTTGACACGAGCATAAAATGTCTTCATATCAAGATCTCCTTGACACGAGAATAAAAGGTCTACATATCAATCTTGAAGGCTCCTTGACACGAGCATAAAATGTCTACATATCAAGATCTCATTGACACGAGAATAAAAGGTCTACATATCAAGAACTCCTTGATACGAGTATAAACTATCTACAAATCAAGTCAAGTGAAGAACTCCTTGACATGAGTTTAAACTATCTACAAATCAAGTCAAATGAAGAACTCCTTGATACGAGTATAAACTATCTACAAATCAAGTCAAATGAAGAACTCCTTGATAAGAGTTTAAACTATCTGCATGTCCAAACCAAATTCAAAATTTTGAGACTCATTCACTACCAAGACATTTTGTCCGTGAACAAGTCTCAAGGGGGCATTTGTAGACATCGAAATTTTAATATTTTATTAATTAATGTTTTTATTTATTTTGGGACATAAATCCATGGTAAATAAGATTTAATAAAAGTTGTTATTTCTTGCCTACCACGTCAAATCTTAGGATAAGGAAAGAGATTATATCAAATCTTAGGATAAGGAAAGAGATTATATCAAATCAAGAAGGACAAATCAAATTGATGTCTTCTTTTCCAAAATTCTCTCTCCTACACATATAAATAGGGCTCTCCTCAATGCCACAAATCACACCTAAAAAAATATCAAACACATCTCAAAGATTAAAGTCTCAAATTCAAGAGCTCTCAAGAACCCTCTTGAAGATTTTGAAGAAGTTCTTGAAGAACCGCCCGAAGTCCATTCAATGAAGAAGAAGGCCAAGAAGAAGAAAAAGAGACGGCGACTCTTCCCCAAGAAGTAAAGAGACGACTTCCACTCCTCTCAAGTCAATTCAAGAATATCAACGACGTTCATGCGACATTCAAGCCCCGTTCGTTGAGAAGTTTAACCAACATAGTCTTCAATCGAGAAAAAGCTATCTAGCCCTCGAGTCAACGTTATTCAAGTCAAAATTCCTCTTTCGAGAAGATCAAAGAATCAAGTCCTCGAAGAAGTCTTCTTCATTCAAGTCAAGGCCTAACATTTAGAACGGGAATAAGTCATTCGACCCCCAAATTAATGTTAGAGAAATTCAATCTCAAGCATGAAGGAGATTCAATCATCAAATCCATCTTTCATAATCTCAAGCTCAAATCCAAGAAGAGAAGAATCAGAAGAGACATATAGAGGCTAAGCGAAGGTTTGAAGATGCTCGACTGAAAGGAGAGGAGGACTTGTGAGTCTCGACTGACAAAGACCAAAAAGACAAAGACAAAGACTAAAAAGACAAAGACGAAGAGGAAAAGAAAAAGAATTGATTGAAACTTTAGCATGGGCTCATGAACGCATAGAAGATATGAATCGAAAGGAATGAAATAGAATCAATGATTCGACACTCATAAAAGAATGAATCGAATCATGGAAATGGTCCACACTCTACTTACTTTGCAGTTGGTCTGTCCCTTGGTCAACTTATGCTATCCCACTCGGGAAATAACTGGAAATTTGACAACAAAAGAAATAAAAAAATCTAAAATAAAATATTATTTCCAAGGCCGCTGGGCAAGAAAAACTCTAAGGGGTCTTGATCGTAAATGAGAAAATTGGTTATATAGAAAGATAAAAATGGATTCGTATTCACATACATGAGATTAGGACCATCATACTTGCCGACTATCGATGAACTGATCGAATTAACCAACCAAAGTTAGCTTCCGTCATTATGAGTGGGCGTTGAGTAGCCCTCCGATCCGTAGCTCTAGAAAGAGAGTTGTTGTTTTTTTTTCAGTTAGGGCAGTAGCTCTCTCGGCTTGTTCCTTGACTACTTGTCCCCTTAAACTCTTAAACTAAAGTCTTCCAAATTGTACCTGCACATCGTTTGATCGAAATAGATCAATTTGTACAAAAGTTTTATGTTTTCCATAAAATTTGTTGTTACAGTATGTTCATCTTATCCCTTCTCGTAGTGATTTGCATAAGTGTTGGCGGCGGTGAACTGAGGAGCGCGGACAAGGACCGACGGTGAACTAAGGAGTGCTGACGAGGAGCGTGAGAGGAGTGCAGACAAGGACCAGCACTAAACTGAGTAGCACAGCCGAGGAGTACGAATTGGTGGGCCTCAGATGATTACCGATGAACGAGGAGCGCGAACTTACAGTGATCACACTGAAATTTTGAGCTAGGGGAGGACAAAGGACCGATGGGCTGGGGAGGACGAAGGACCAATAGTAAGATGGGAAATTTCTTAAAAGAGTGTAAGACTTGAGATATGAGACACCGGACGAGTGAAGACAAGGGATTGGAGACGAGAAGGCGACGAGCGTATGGATTAGGGCTTAGAGATTAATCTGTTAAGACAAATTGTGAATTTGTGATGTTTTTACTTTTTCGCCACAAAAATATTAAGAATATAAAAAAATATAACAGATCTTGTACTATATATAATTTAGAAAATATAAAAGATTATCATTAGCGAGTCGAATGTCTATAAGTTCGGATTTGGATTCGTGTAACTTCCAAACGTATAATATTATACGTACTCGAATTTGAATTCGAATCGCATTGCAAATATCGAATCAAATAAAAAAAAAATATGCTTTGTTTACAAGTCTAACTTAAACTTCTCGAAGAAAAAAGTCGTTAAAAAAAAAACTTAATAATAATAAATAAAGATATATAAATAAATCCACGAACAGGTATTAGATTTGCCATACAAGCACTAGCAGTACAATACTAAATGTCCCATCTCTTCTTCACTCGGAACATCAAAGCCGACGACTTTATATCATCTTGAGGAACTTGGAGCATGAATTGCACTTTCATCTTCAAAGGGGCTGTCTTGGCTTTGCCATCTTCATCTCCAACCTGAATCATGTCAAGGCATATATTGTGCATCAGATTTGTATTCTGAAATCCCAGGAGAATACTCTTACAAATCATGCATATGAACACCACCTTTGCTATAAAGAATGAGAAAAGTAATCTTCAATATATCTTGAGGTTGTACTAAGAATGAGAAAAGAACAAACGAGAGAGATGAAAAAGGACTAGAGATAACAATTAAGTAACAGACAGGCACTCGGTCTGTTTGTAAACAAATATAATCTCAGTCATGCTAATAGTTTCAGCGGGCTTGCAATTGATGAGGAAGTTATACCTCTAAAATTTTGGACACAAGACTCCGGTATAATGTGCATCTTTTACGGGCCGGGTACTATCTTACTCTGGGAAATTCAAATCCATTGCTTGGATAATCTCTCAATTCAACATATTTCAAATCCTTTGCTCTTGTATTGAACTATTATTTTAGTTATTAGCATTTGAGATTATTTGTAAGTTAGATTAAATTCCACTGCACCTTTTTTCTTTCCGTTCTTTAATATTTTCAAATTTTGCTTTATGCTATTCACGCTTATGGACGATTATAAGGAGAAAGTGGAAACAATATAGAAATCAAATTTTCCCCCTTTCGATTCTCTGGAAAGGTGTTAGCTCAATATCAGGTGAATGAAGTTCAAGCTTCAAGAATCGAGGTTCGGATAAGAACTGTTCAACCCATTTCCTATAACCCCATGCCTCATATATTATCTATCTATCTATAATCTATCTATAATCTATCTATATCTATAATCTATCTATATCTATATCTATCTATCTATAACTTCTATCTATTCTATAATCTATCTATATCTATCTATAATCTATTCTATATCTATAACTCCCTTAAAAGGATGAGTTATTTCTTGAAAATTTTGAAATGCCTATATTACCCTCTAAAGTTTTACCATTTAAGGACATAAATGTAATAAGATAACTTCATTAATATCTCATCCAACCACATTGAAATAAAATCTGAAATGTCACTACTACACCCAATAAAAAATAAAATAATGTTACTTCTAAAAGTATTATATTATGTTACTTCCAAAAATTTATATTATGTCTTATTCCAAATACAGAATAACTGAAATATTAAAACACATGACTTAATATAAAATTGTTTCAAATAATTTCAAATAAAATGTTTTAAATCATATTTTGATGTTTTAATCATGAATGTCATGACATAGTACTCAATTTTTTCTTATAATATTCCTTGTGTATATTATAATTAATAATTTTTATGATATTAATCTACTGAAAAAAAAAATTGACCGGTATCCAAATTTTTAAATGAATGTATTGGCACAACTACAAAAGTAAGATTTTTTTTTCTGTACAAATATTAAAAATTCTTGTAATGCAAAGTCAATAAAAAAATAAAAAAAATAAATAATCAATTGAACTAACCTTTTATTGAAACAAAACATTTATCTATTTAACTGGTTTTTTTCCAACGTCATAATATATTAATCTTTTTTATTCTTATTCTATTATTTTATTATAAATATATTATTCAATTAACTTATGGTTCTCATTGTTTTTTATTATTTACCAAATATTTGTATGTTATTTTTTTAATTAATTTTTTAAATATTAATGTATTAAAATGTTTGTATGCTATTTTTTTTCATTCATTTGTCTTAGTATTAAAAATAGTTATTATTCAACATAAAAATATCAATGTTTTATGGAAAAAAAATATTAGTTAAGTGCAAATATATAGTTGTAATAGAAATACTTTGTTTAAATTATTCATTAAAATATATGCATGATACAATTTAACTTTATCTGTTAGTAGTATGTACAGTATAAATGTTCTTTTATGGTAATATGTGTTACATAAATTAATCTACTATTTACTTTAATTGTAATAGAAATCAAAATATAGTAATTATAAAAATAAAATAAAATAAGTAATACTCGATTTTAAAATCTTGAATTTCAAAATATGTGTAATTGGTTGAAAATATATAGTTATAATAATTATAATTAATTAAATAAAAATAAATATTACATTTACTTTAAATTTATTTCAATAGACTATCTTATTATAAATCATAAATAAATTTATTTTTTCAAATCACTTCTTAAAACTAGGAAACCTAAACCTTGTAAAAATATTGACAAATATATAAAATAATGTTAAGATAAAAGTAAAATATGAAAGAATCATGATTTTACAATTTATTTAAAATAGAATTATTATTTTTTTCACTTTTTAGATAGTCTTGAAAATCCATGAACGAAAATGATAATGCATGTATGACAGCGTTAGGAGATGTAACAATAATTTATTTTGGATAATATATATAGATAAGCACCTTCAATTAACCAATGTTACAACATTATATATAGATAGATGGGAACCTTTAATAAATCAAGGATGTTATTGTTCCTAATTTCAAGTAATTGTTTTTTAAATATTTACAACTTTAAAGATATTTTCAAATATTTATATCTCTTATATCATTATATACAGAGAGAAAATATATATCTAAATATTACAAAATATTACACGTGCAAATATAATTGAATTTGCAACCGTTATAATCAGAATAACAGAGAACGAAACATTCAACCACAGTGTCAGCTTCCAATCAACAATAAGCAAATGATAATTACAAATTATAGTTATAGTAAATTCGAGTTATTATTCAAATAGTAAGACGCAAAAGGAAGACATTAAAAAAGATATTATTTTCACAATAATAATGATCATTATTTTAAGCATAAGGATGATATACTAAATAACAAAATCAAGGACGACATAGATTTCTTCAGCATTTCAAATTTTTTTAAAAAAATATTAATTTTATTTTAGATTTTCTAACCAATATTTTTTATTTAATTTTATTTGTCATAGAGTTCTGTTAATAGTATTAAATTTTATATTTTATCATAAAATACACAATTTTTTGTTAAATAATAAAAAGAAAATTATATTGTGCTATTAAATTAAATATATAATAAAAATAATTTTGAGTAAAAAAAATTAATATCACGTGCGTAGCACGTGCATCTTCCTAGTAACAGAGAAACACATGACGGAAAACTAAAGAAAGCAAAAATTGAAAAAATTGTCAACATCTTTATTCAGTAACCAATGATGCCAAGAGAAATATATCACAACTTACCCAAAGCGATGCCCAGCCAAGTCGCACTTCAGAATCATAGCCAGCTTTAAACTTGTAGTCTTTTCCAACTGTGTGTTTGTAGACGGTACTCCAGTTGTTTGAGTCAAAATGGTACCAGTAGCTGACCACAAAACAACCAAAATAAATCATAATTACTGCATTAACACAACTGTGCGCCACAATGGATTTACAAATAGCATGTCTCCTACAATTGTCTGTTAATGATAATGTTACCAAAATATTTAACAGAAACAAAAGCACACTAGCAAGTACATGACGACCGAAGATGGTTACTGTTTTAGTTAGTAAATAGTCATGAAGGAAGATGTGGGAAAAATTGTACTTTCTAAACTCAAACCCACCATGTATATAAATCTGCACACTGAACCTAAAATTGCTTAAATTATATTAATTATCATTCCAAGGTACATATGGATAGTGGGTTGTAAGCTGGAAATAAGCCCTAGACAAATTAAATCTTACTTACTTTGTTACCAAATAACATATACAGATATACTCCCATTTCGCAAAATGCGTGACTTGGAACCTATACAGCTTAAATCATTCATACTTCAGAGAGAGAGAGAGAGAGGGAGTGAATGAGTGTGTGTGTGTGTGTGTGAGAGAGAGAGAGAGAGAGAGAGAGAGAGAGAAAGCACCTCATCTTATCTGAAGGACTGAAACGCCTCTTAAATGCACAGGATACCGCGTTCGAAGGCAGAGAAATGCTCGGGACGAAAGTTAGTTGCTCATCCTAAAGTTGAAAATTTCGGCAGAAAATTTATCAGGCAATTAATCTTCTTAGGTGGCAATTGGAACATCAAATATCGAAGGGATATAACGATAGCCTTCCATCCTTTAATCATAGAGATTAAAGGATGGAAGGCTATCATATAATTTCAAGAGGATGAAAGATGACCGCCACCACTTGAACTGACTATTTAAAAGTTGAAAAATACTAAAACATTTCTAAATAAAACAAAATCCGGACAAGTATAATAAGGAGACAATAAATAATTTCTTTATTAAATGCTGGTTCATTTTCACTACAAGAATCATTAAACAAAACAACACGAGCACTACCTGAAAATGTTTCCAGAAGAAGTTACCTTAAATGCATATCTTAATTCCAGATTTTCCTCATTGTATCGTGCAGTGCAGACTCCATTGAGAATATGGCTTTTAACAATACCACTAACTGACAAAGTTTTCTTCGGTTCTTCTTCTTCCTCCCCTTTCTCCTCTAATGAAACTTCACCATGAGGAAACTTAAAAGTTGCTCTTGGCTGCAGCACCAGGAAAAAAAAAATAATAATAATAAAATAAAATAAAAAATAAATTATATATATATACATATATATATATATATATATATTGTCAAAAGTCATTGAGGCAAAAAGTATTCAATTCTCAACGACCTTTATCTTCCCTGTTTGGGAATTATGCATGCATTTCATATTAGTGGAGATTCACAACATAAACTTCCCAGCAATAAGCTCAATTGCAATTTTAAAAATGCCAAAAATTGCTGACCATGCCTACAGATGGAACGGCAGATGACAATTCAAGCTTGTAAGCTGATCCTGCAAGATCTGCAACCATTGCAATCTCTCCATGTCGAGCCTAAAGTAAGAAAAACAAGTGTAAGCAAAACATGGATAATGTAATCACCGTAAAATATGATCGAACTTAGCATGTATAACAAACGAATAATGCATTTCTGTGTATTTATATGCTAAATGGTCTAGTTCGAAAAAACTTCAGTAAACTGCCGATTGTAGGAACCAAATGAGGGAAGGTGGGGATATAAATGTTTAACAAATGTTGGGTACTTAGAAGTTCGAAATACAAAGCCGCTTATCATAGAAAGAAATAATTATAGGCAGACAGACACACTCACCAAATAAAAAATGGTAGTTATTCAATTCGAACTTGAATAAATTTCATTTCTTTAGCTGACACTAAGATCATTAAAACTTTCTAAGTTGTCCAAAAACAGCCCACAAGACGATAACGATTCATATTTACATCCAACTCCATAGACAACCTAGTTCTAACTTAATTCATCTAGATGGTTCCAGCAACACTTACTCTGATGTAAATTAATCTTATTTCTCCCTAGAGACCTTTAACACGCAATGCTTTCGATCACGAAATGAGATTTGATTCAGTCATCCACAAGAATTCCCAAATCCCATTTACCTACTCAAGATAGAGATTGCCACAAAAAAAAATGAGATTCGAAATACAAAGCCGCTTATCATAGAAAGAAATAATTATAGGCAGACAGACACACTCACCAAATAAAAAATGGTAGTTATTCAATTCGAACTTGAATAAATTTCATTTC